TAGAACAGGAACAAGGGATCATGTCAATCTATGATTATGCTACTAAGTTTTAACACTTGGCTTGATTCTAAACTTAAACTATTTTTGAGCCTCGGAGATGTAAGATATTTGAAAAAGGCTTGAAATATGAGTCTAAGAAGATTGTGGTACTTATGTTTATTTGAGAGTTGTGTTCATACTATTAAGACAGAAACATTTAGTTAAAGGGATTTTAGATATATTGAATGACTCTTACTTTTTATATTTTGATACAATAAAATAAGATTAAAATTTTGGAGAAATTAAAGATAAGTCTTTAAAATAATAAATTATTTTATAATTGGTAATAACATTAATGTTGCTAATATAACCTTCTATATATGATCAATAAATTGTCTAACGACTAATTAAACATAATAAGAAAATTGTTGAAAATCTTACATCGACTAGGAAATTATGGTACAAACCTTATCTTATAAGCAGATTTTGTAGGGTTGAGTTAAATACCTCTCCCTATTCAGTTTGACGCTCTCGAGGTATTTATTCCTGGGCGTGAGGGTTATGTTAGAAATCCTAGGTTATCTAGGAATATGACTAACTTATAAACCCTACGTTACAAGCCGATTTTGTAGGATTAATAAGACACATCTCCATTTATAATAAAAATAAAGTATTAAAACATGTTCACATATATATTATTTTTTAATATCTTTATGCGAGTTACAATTAGGTTTTCTTATAGAAAAATTCAATGTAGAATGAATTATTGTTTAAAGGAATATATGTAATTAGTAATAAAATTATAAAAATGATTATATGCATATTAAAATAAAAAAAATGCAAAATTAAATGAATTTCATAATATAATATAAAAGATTACACGTGGATTAAATTCAAAATAGATATCTTGATCAACTACTAATTCAATATAATCAAATATATTATTTCATATGAAACAGAAATATATTTTTTTTTGTTAATAATAAGATAAGTTTTCTATTACATATTATTTTCTTTTTAACAAGTATCATTAATTCAATATTTTTCAAAGAGAATTTTTGAGTAAAGATAAAAACATATCACAATAATCTTACTTGTCAAGATATTATAAATTTATTTTTAAAGAATATAAAAACAAGGATATTTCTACAATAATCATATTTTTGAAGAGCATACAAAGGACAAAAAATGGTGAATGCAGAAAGTACAACTATTACACACAATAATTCTTTCAAACTTCTCACTCAAGCCTTGTGAAAAAAAAATCTATTAGAAAGTTCAGTAGTATAAAAGATTTGTTATATCTTTCACTTAATGAAATTGGAATCTTAATTAGAAATATTTTATTATATACTTTTTTTGTGAGAGTTTTTACTATAGTGCATCTTTAAACTATCTTTTATTGTAACCAAGAGTGACAGTTATGAATACTTAGTATTAGGGAAAATTAGGAAGAGATTGTCAAAAGTGACTTTGTGTACTCGTTCACTTAATTCTTTCAAACTTCTCACTCAAGCCTTATGGAAAAAATCTATTAGAAAGTTCAATAGTATAAAATATTTGTTATATCCTTCACTTAATTAAATTGGAATCTTAATTAGGAACACTTTATTATATACTTTTTTTGTGAGAGCTTTTACTATAGTGCGTCTTTAAACTGTCTTTTATTGTAACCAAGAGTGACAATTATAGATACTTAGTATTAGGGAAAATTAGGAAGATATTGTCAAAAGTGACTTTGTGTACTAGTTATAGCGAATAATGACTTGATAAACTCATAGCCGAGAGTGGTTTAGTGTTCTCATTGTAACCAAGAGTGACTTAGTACCAAGAATGACTTGATTTATTTGATATATCCAATAGTGATGTAGTATTCTGATTGTTTCTGAAAGAGAATCGATGTACACATTTTAGTTAGAAGTGGTAGTAAGAATATTTTATTTTAATTAGATTGATTATAGTGGAATCCTTTAAAAAAAAAATTTAATGAAAACTAAAAGTAGCCAAAATTTTGGGATAAACTCATATAACTGAAGTTGTTTTTGTCCTTATCTTAGTAACATGTACTAGGATCTAAATTGGTCTTTTTGGTGTTTAGGTATGAAGAAATATGTAGATCAATATGTTTTAGCTTGTGTGACTAGTCAAAAGGAAAATATAAAACATCAAATCAAATACCTAGAGGTATGTTGCCACAAATGGAGATTTTTGAGCAAAAATAAAATAACATTTTTATGAACTTTATTTGTCATGATTAGTACGAGGACACACTTTAGAATCTCTACGATGAAATTAGTCTAATTATACATAAGACAAGTTATGGGATTACATGGTATGCCTTCATGCATAACATTCAAATGGAATCCCATATTTACATCTATATTATGGTAGACATTTTAGGAAGTATTGGGAACTAGGAAAAGATTCTTCCATTGGTATAAAATATTGTATGGGAGGAAACATAGATCTACACTATATTGGTATCCAGATAAAGAGAGTGTGTATTGGTTGGAACTAAATTACTTTAACAGACTATTAGAAAGGTTAAACAAATACAATGTAGAATTAATACTTCTATAAGTAGACAAAAGTCACATGTATATAAAAGGAGATAATTCTTATTGTTTACAGTTGGAGATGATAGTGTTTACTGTTGGAGATGATAGTGTTTTTTAGGGTTAAACCTCCTATAGTTGATAGGAGTGCTACCAGATCTAAAAATTTATTAATCATATTTTTATGTGTATTAGTACAGTGACTTATAAGTTAAATTTATCTTACCAATTAGCTATTTTGTATAATGTATTTCATATATCTACTTTGAGGAAATACATATAGGATCTAAGTGATATATTGAAGTATGGTGATATAGAAATCAAGGAGGATCTATCATTGAAAGTTTGATTAATTAAAATTAAAGATCACCATATTAAACAACTCTTACATAGAACTATTAGCATGGTATAAGTGATATAGGATACTAGATTTAGTGATATCACTTAGGAATTAAAATAATAAATGAGAGAAAACTTATCTTTATTCTTCGGTTAATTTTTTAGAACAAAATATTTTGTTGTTGTAAAAATGGTAAGAGAAGCTTTGAAAACTCTACACTCGAAAGACTAAATAGTTCCTTTTCATAAATTTTAAACTTTTATCTTTCAAGAATCTTAGATTGAAAACTTTATAAATAAAATATTGATGTCATTTAAACAACAAACTATTGCTTAAGCAAGAAAAACTCATAATCAATTAAGTAAATATTGAAAGTGCATTAGTCAAAGGAACAAATAGAAACTTAAGCGAAATATTTCTATTTGAGAAAAAAATGAAAAAACATTTAAATGAAAAAAATATGTATTTGAATATTATATATGATGATTAGATAAATGTGATGTGTGGTGATTTTATATATAGATGTGAGATACCTTGAGGGTTGAGTACCTATTGTAAGTAGTTATTAAAGTGGTATTAGTGCATGATGATGTGATATGACATTGAGATGGAAAGACTCTTAAAGAGATATTCATGTTCTACTAAATAACCTAAAATAATTAAGGTATTAAATGAAAGAGTTGATATAATTTTTTATACATGAATTCATATGAAAGGAAATTTATAAGAAATATCTTGTATATGATAAATAAAGCCACATTAAATTGATTATAAGAATTCGTTCAAGTGTATAGGTGTTAATATTGACATTATAATTTTTTTCTCTCATTTTAGTAATAGTTATTTTTTTTTTAAAATAAACTTACGGAATAATGGTGTTTAGATGTTACAAATTATTAATAAAATATATTTTTGATAATTAACTTCTCTTAATTTCTTTTTGAAATATATGATGATGGTTTAAAATATAAATAAAATCATTAGATTAATTATATTATATAAATTTTTTTATATATTTTAATATTATATAATTATTTTGTAAATTTTATAAAATATGTACATGAATGTATTAAAATATTATATATTATTTTTTACAAAATTTAATTACTAATTAATATTTTATCCTATTTCGTGTTTTCTTCCATTTAAATTAACCCCATTTGAAGATAGAAGTTGAGTATATTATGGATGTGATATATGCAGGTGAAAAAAAAAATGTTAAGATGTTTCCATTTTAAGTGTTACATGTATCGTTGTGTGATTGCACGAGTCTACAATAATTCTCACACAGAATTGTTAACTAGAACTCTCGGAAATCATTGGCTCAACCTATTCACTTATTATTATTATTATTTTTTTTTTTAATTCTTTTGGTAATTAATTTGTTTTGTTGGTTAGATTTCAAGTTTGTATGATCTGATTTGCAAATGCAAACTTACTATAATTAATTCCTTCAGCCAAGGGAGAACAAAATCCACATTGAAATTCAGCTCTTAAGGATACCAACTGCACTGCACATGGAGCTGGCAAGAGAAACAAGTGACACAACACAACAATTGTTTTTCTTAACATTTATAAATAAATTATTTTTATTTAAAATTAAAATTAAAATTAAAAATCAGTTAGCAGCAAAACTCAGAGACAAAACATAATAGTAACCGTACATTTTTTATTTTTATTTTTTTAAAAAAAATGTTTTATCAAACCAGTAAGAGATAAAAAAAAAAAAAAAAAATCAAACCTGCAAAGTTGAAACCCAAATTCCTGGTACTGTGTTTCTGTTTCTGACCCTCTCCAATCTATCTCTCTCTGCTACCTTGAGTTTCATATATTTGCAGAACCACAGAGGCACGTAGGTACATGCACCTTTGAATTTGAGGGTTTGTGTCCCTCTCTTTGGTCTCCTTAAAAAAAAAAAAAACACTGCTTCATTTTTTTTTTTTTTTTTACATTTTGTTGTTTCTCTCTCTAAAAAAAAAAAGAAAGTGCCCTTCTTCCCTTCTCTCTCTACAGCCCCTCGTTCTTCACTTTGATTTTCCGTCTTCAATGCTAACCCAACCATGATCCTCTACACGTAATCCCACCATACCTAACCTAAAACCCTTTTGATCTCTCTCTCACACACCATGTCCCAAGGATCTCCTCCACAAGACAGCAAAGAACCCTCGTCCGAACCCGATTCGCACAAGGAGGAAACAACCACCAACACCGCTGCTACTACCGCCACCGCCGCCCCCGATGCTGCTCCTCCCGCCCCCACCCGGAACCGACCCTCCCGTGCCTGCACCATTCGCACGGCTGCACGCCTCTACTCGGCGTCGCAGCCGGCGAGGCCGAAGGCCGCAAAGAGGGAGCCTCGCAGCGAGGAGTCGCCAGCGCCACCGTCATCGCCGCAGCCACAGCAATGCAGCAAGATCGTGACTCCGCTGGTGGAACCGCCCCCGCCAGCGCAGTTGCCGCGCTACAACCTCCGCTCCATGTGGGAATTGGCTTCAATACTCAATTTTTTGAATGTGAGCTTCGAGACAGTGATGTTGTTTTTGTTCTTTTTTTTTTTTGCTTTTCATTGGGTTTGTTGTGCATTCCTTGTATCTAAGATTTTTGTTGTTGCTGCAGCTTTTTAGGCATCTTTTGAATATTTCAGCAGAATTCTCGGCTGAAGAGTTTGAGACGGCTTTGCTCACTCCCAACGACACATTGGGTGATATACACATGCCTTTGCTAAAGGTTAGTGCTTTCTGATTTTTTTTTATTCCTTTGGTTTGTTCTTGTGTACGTACTGCATTCCTTCTTTCTTCTTTGAATATGGGTGGTAACTGATAAGTTAGTCTTTGTGGTTTGTGTTAGTTTTGTGCTTGTTGTTATTGTTAGGAGTTTGTAGGATGTTGCTTTAGTGTGTCTTTGTTTAATTTGAGTGATATTGCAGTGGTTTTGGTTATGATTGTATGCCTTATATTTGAAGTTGTACTTTTTTGCTAATGTTGAGTGTGCCCATTCCCTGGGTGCGAGAGAAATTTGGAGCTGTAATAAGGAATTCTTGTTAGTGCTGGGTATTAGGAGGTTGCTGTGGGTGAAATAGAGTAGAGTGCACCTCTGGGTGCCAATGCTTTGGTCAGTGTATGCTTAAAGCTAGTCACATGTTTTGGGGAATGTAATTCAAATGACAAAGGTGAGAACTTGTTCAATTTTTTCTGTGAGAGTGGGTTGAATCCAAATGATAAACTTGAGTATTAGTCACTACTTGACTGTTGGAGTGAGTCTTTATTCAATGCGGTGATTGAAACATTTTTGAATCTGGGAATTGTGGAAGGAGCCAAAAAGTGAACACTCACGAATATGGAGTTTGTAAATGAATTGCCTGTTTTATGGATTCATGGCCACAATAAGGTTGACCTATATTATGTTGGGAGATGGACATTAATATTTTGCAACTGAGTTGAGTATGGCAGAAATTGGTAAGTACAAAGCAAGTAATTGATTGGAGGTTTTTGTTGCATGTATGAGAAGCCCTTTCTTTACTTTTTGACAAAAGATTAGTAAATGTTCATTTCATGATTGAGTGTTACACTGGGGACTTTTGTTGATTCCTTGTGCTCGCTGCCCTGATTTATAGGCCCAGTTTGCAATTTAAGAATATAATGTTCAAGTGTGCAACCATTAAGTTTTGTTTATTTATTTCTATCGTTTCTGAGTACAAACCACAATGCTGTGTCAAATGCTTACAATTTCCAAATGCACCTGTGAATTTTTTTTCACTAGGTTTCAGCCTTCTTTGTCCTATCCCTGATTTTCTGAGTCCAAATCAATGTCAAAGATTATTTGAATCATTATTGCAAGAGGTGGATGTATACTTTACTGTTCAGTTTATAAAGTGTTCAGGCATCATCGCATAAATTACTAAAGAAAAGGCCTACTCTGAAGAATTCTTAGAACTAAAAAGAGTTTTTGTTGTACCTAATTCTTATTCCAAAGTTTCTTTACTTGAACTATAGCTTCCCAGCAGATTTAAATGTTGTGGGAAAATTATTCAGTCAGTTGTTTGAGGATTTAGCTCTGTATTGAAACTCCCATGCTGCAATGAGAAAGTGTTAGTTATAGACATGGTGCATATTCTACTCGTCCTTGATGTAATGAGTTTGTGGATTGAGATGAATTGATCAACACAGTGGTAGTTGAACTGTTTTGAAATTAAGCTTTTCGGTTGAGTATTAAAATGACAAATCTTGCATGAGTCTGGCTTATCTGTTAGGTAAATAGGTTGTTGAGTGATAAAGAGATAGTGGGGACTGGGGAGATAGAAAGTTTAGACTGTTTAATTTTATTGGTCGTACACTTCAGATCTTGAAGTTTTAAACTGCAGTGCAATGAACTCAGTCTCAATGCCAATGCCATCATAAAGTCTTTACTTTCATTTGTCCTTCATCTTTTCAGATATGTGCATCGTGGCTAATAAAAAACAATGGTGATACTTGAATTCATTTGAGATTTTAAAATTGGTTTAAATATTATAATAGTATTAATCTTGCTTAGTCACTTTTGTGAGTGGATTCGTAGATATTGTTAAATGGGTGAGAAACTCAAGGCTTGAATATAAGTTATTTTGGAGTTTAAGAGCTTGTAAGAGTTGTTTGGCTTTGTCTGTTAGCCAGAGTTATAGGGCACTGATCCCTCTCATAATCTATTCCTCTGCAAGATCAATACTTTCTTCTTTATACAATGTTACAAGCTTGCAAAATTGCTACTGGTCTGATAACATTACTTGTATTTTTTTATAGGCAATTCCTCCCATAACACGAATGGCACTCACACATGACACTTGGATAACGGTGTTATGCAGAAAATTGAGAGATTGGTGGCACTGGGTAATAAGACATTTTTCATTCAGCAAGCTGAAAATTTTACATTAGATAACATTATGTAGTTTCCAGACTAATATGAAAATGGAATTCAAATGCAGGTTGCTGATGGGGATCTTCCTATTGTTGCTTCACATGGGTAAGTAATCAGTTAGTCATGCAATATCTTTAGTCCACTTTATGTGTTTACTTTGTCTCATGTTATGTTGACATGGCAGAGCGGAGATTGAAGTATATAAATCACTTGATCCAGGGGTTCGTGTGGTCATCTTAAAAGCATTATGTGACATTCGTGTTGAGGTACTCTTGCCCATTTAACATTTATTTATCTAAATATTTTGTATTCCTTTTCCTTAAATGGGAGAATGTTAGTATGGAAGAATGAGACCACACTCCTTTATTTAGGTTGGATCTTTGAAAATTATGCAATCTATTCATACCACGTGGTTCTTTGGGCTTGTCTATTTAACAATGGTGTGATAATCAGCCTCAATAGTTTGTCTTGTATTTTAATACAATTCAAACAGATTCCTGGAGATGCATGACCGTGTACTATTTTAATTGGCAATGGAAGATTCTGCAATAACTTTCTTTGGGTTTATTTTTTATGTGTCTGGGGGGAGAAGAGAGAGAGAAGATTCAAATTCCCAAGATCAAAACCTACAAAGTGCATCCATGAAGTATATTGAGGGGCAAATCATTCATAGGCTGACTGACATATCTTACCCTTGCTCATCCTGCTTGGTAATGTACATGATTAACTTGATTTGTATTTTGCAGCAAGAAGATATCAGAAGTTACATTGACAGCTCAATCAAACATGGCATTCCACTTTCGACATTTCGTAAGGAGCGTATTGGTGGTGATTCCCATGGAGTTTCTTATTGGTAATATACATGAACTTTGATTTCAACCTGTTCAAAGTTTGAAGCGTCGTACTGGAAAGTTAATGTACATTTATCTGTTTTAGCTTTTTATTCACATGGCATTTGATTAGTGCAGGTATGAAGATGACCAAATTATTGGTCATAGGTTGTATCGGGAAATAAGGAAAACTGAGGTGGTTCAAATGAAGAAAGGGAAACCAAGAGGTTCACAGGTTTTTTCTAATACAACCTACCAGTGGGAAACAGTTGCTACCAATTTTGATGAATTTCTGGATGTTTCTGTAAGTTAATGAAGCTTATCTATATTTAGTGGGCATGTTTTAACAATTGTTCATTGTTTTGCTTGGAGTTGGGACTTTTGAGTTATAAGTTTTGAACTAGATAATGTATCACTTAATAGATTAATGTGATGTAATATTTGGGATTACAAATTAATACTAATTTTATTTTGATTTAGAACACTAACTTAAGTTATAAGTGAACGTATTGAATAAGAAACTATTTTTTTGTAGAAAATTTAAAGCTAATTGTAGTCCTTGTATGAAACCATTAGATTTGCAAATTATTGATAAACCTAATAATAACAAAAATCAGAACATTGATTCTTAAATTTATACCATGTGTTACAGACATTATTTATGCTTCTCACATTTTATTCCTTGTCATTCATGACTGCTAAAAATGAACATTCTTTTTCTGAAATATCAATAAGTACTAAAAAGAAATCTCAGCGACAATATGCATGAAGAAGAGACACAGTGCAACAAAGAACTTAAAGTCGTCAGAGGGTGCCATTTGCCGACAGTATTAAGTGCTTTCTATATTTATAATAGAAATGTTTAACATGGTTGGCAAACCAAATCCTTCATCAGTGTTAAAAACCAGAGAAATCAAATTAGCTGCAGCAATTGTTTAATATGATCAGTTGTTTTTCAATTTTCTTGTTCAATCCTATCCATGATATGACTAATTAAAGTTAAATCATGAACTTTTGGAATGCTGATACAACAACTAAGCCCTTCGGGACTAAGTGGGATTGGCTACCCTACTTGAATCCTATGGTTTACAACTCCCACTATTGCTATGTTTTTTTCTATAACAGACCCAAGAATGCTGATAACTTTTGTGATAGATGATAGGATTGACCGTTCATTTTTTTTTTTCCATTTTCAAAGAGAAATAATATAAAATTACCTAATTCTACCATCTTTCATAAAGTTTGCAATTTTTTTAGTTGAGCTTCATAATATTTGCTTCTACTCGTCTGATTGCACAGGAGAAACTTTTCACAAGTAAAAACAGAACAGAGGTTTCTGTGGGGAAGAAGGTGAAGATAGACATGCTCCCTGAAATTGAGAAGGTTCACAAGGTACTATTCGAAAGAATGGGGCATTTTGGGAATTGAACTTGAATTCATGTTTGCTCTTATTTTTATCTTGATATATGGTCCTTGAAGAACCTTATTGTTCTTTTAACATAAAAAACTAGTCTAGCATGGGTTGAGAAGATGATGGTGCATTCTGGGATTGGGACTTGAACTCAAATTCATGTTTGCACTTCTTTTTATCATGGTAAATGGTTCATGAAGAATCCTAATTGTTTTTTAACTGACAAAATTGGCCTGTCTTGTGCAGAGAAAAGAGAGGTTGATGAAAAAACAACACAGACAAGCTCTTCTTCTGGATAATTTCTTGGGTGTTGATGGACTTGCTCTAGGTCGTTCACTTCGTGATAGGAAACCAGTTACATACACTTTCGGTAAGAAGTTTTATCATTGTTTGCATTTTATTTCACAGCTGGAGTTGGCCTCTTCATTTTCTGTATTTTGTTATTTTCTTTGTATGGACTGCTGGGGTTTATTGGACAGCTCACTATTTCTACAGTTGAATTATAGTGGGAATGTTAGGACCGTGGGTACTTTCTGGGGCAAGTAGCCTGAATCAGGGTTTTATAGCACTACTACAGTGACAACAAGTGGGCTGCCTGCAATAGAGTCTGCTGTAGTGACCATAGCAGACCAAATAGAAGGCTGAATAGCAGTTCTCTGTGTCTATTCCTAAAAACCCCTCTAAATGGAGATATTAGGTCTTTTTAAGAGAGCCATTTAAATCATTGTTGGCCTGAATATTGTAAAGAATATCTATTTCATTCTTCTTAGGGAATCTCTGATTTTAGAAGAATTGCAAAGTTTTCCTTGCATGGACCAAGAGGGCTACTGGTTCACAAAGTACAGCGATAATTTAGTGGGACTTTCTGATGACTGACTTTGGTTTTGGAATCGTACAATAAGTCATTGGATCTGATAAATTTTCCATTGAATTTTACATAGCTACATGGTTAGCCTTTATATTTGTCTTACATCCACATTTTTAAATAAAAAAAGTTAACATTATCATTAGCTTTGTTGTAATTTTACCCTGTATTGATGATAGTGGTGAACTGTGGTAAGACAATCTGGACATGGATAATTTGACGGTTTCATTGTGCATTCAGGATGTAAACTTAAGCTTCCTGTTTAGCATGACAGAAAAAAAAAATCTTCTGAGCTACATAATTTTTGGTTTGGTTGGACAAAAGTAAACTTATTTATTGTGTATCAGTATTTGAGGTTTTACATTGACCTAACTTTTGATATCGCTGTCATTGCAGATGATTATGATCGATCCATCAATGAGGCAATTAAGATAACCAAGTATGGGTTTTAAGTTTTGATCTTCATTCTTGTCCTTTCTCAATATGTATGTATTTTTTTTGTTACATATATTGAGAGAAAAGGGGCAAATCATATGCATTTGCTATGCTTTGTACTCATGGCATAGTTTCTGTTTCTTTCTATATCAGACGGAAACCACCATCCCCAGAACCTATACCCAGAAGAGAAGCAGGACCAAAACCTGAAGCTTTAACCAATGGTAAATGGAGTGGTCCTTCTCCTTCACGTGACCCTCAAGATCTAACTTTTGGCATGCCATCTCCAAAATCACCAGACCTCGAAGATATGGAGGAAGATAATCAAACTGACATACTGGACTTGGACCGAAGGTTTGTAGTTTTGATTTTCTCCCTTCAAATATGTTCTGTTAACTTGTATCTTATTTTGCTAATTGTTATTTCACATCAGCAATAGGCGGAGGCAGAAGCCCAAGCGGTATTCAGAGAAAGAGTATGTTGAAGCATTGTCAGATAATGAGGCTGATTATGACAGTGATGATGATATTGTGGGAGAAGCCGTATATGATGAAGAGTATCTTCGGAAACGCAAGCAGAGAAGGAAGACTTCTAGTAGCTCTGGCTCTGAAGGAGATGAAGAATATAATTGGAATGAAGATAATGTTGAAGATGAAGAAGACGACGAAGAAGAAGATTCCTTGAGTGTCAGTGAGGATAGTGACAAGCCCCGCAAATTCAAGCGACTGGCAGGCCGTACTAGGAGGGAAACTAAACTCAGGTCTGTAGGTGAAATTCAATCAGGTCTAAGACGCAGTAAGAGGGCAACACAGAAACGGATAAATTACCGACAGTTAGAAATGTCTGATTCAGAAACAGAGTTTATCAAACCTGATAAGTCTAATGCATCAGATGATCAATCAGATCCTACTGAGAATGGGGAGTATATGATGGAAAGTGAAGATTCAGATGGCAACGATGATGAAGAACAAGAAACAAAGGATGTTGAGCCTGTTACCTACCCTGCAGAAGGGAACAACCCATATCCTGCTGTAGAGGAGAATGAACAAAGCCAAAACCAGCCTCCTGAAAAATCTAGTAGTCCAGGTCAGGAGGAAGTTGAGGGCACCGCAAAGCGACGCTTTCTTGATTTGAATGAGCTTGCCCCTAGCTCAGGTTTTGATGATGGTCCAAATACAGCAACGAAAGATGAAGGAAATGATGATTTTTGAAGCTACCCCATTTACTCTAAAGCAAGGATGGTAGTTTGCTATCAAGGAAACCAAGTGACATGTATGATAATAGAACTATAAATTTTGTTATGTGCCTCAAAGGAAGTCACGGTAAGATCTCTTCCTATGGCAATCTAAGCAGCCCTTGGTGCATGATTTTCCACCAGAAGCAGCAGCATGATACTGAGTTGTGTAGATTAGGTAGTCATTTTTTAGTATTTAGTATTTCAACTACATCAAAGGGTCTAAGGAAATGAATGAGAATTTGTTGGGCGTTATTTGGCCCATCCAATCGGTGTACAATAACTGTTAACAAGTACTGTAACTTTAAATAGATATGGCTTTTGATTATCAAGCCCTGTAGTTCTATTTTTTCTTTTCCCATGGACTCCATTAATCAGCTTTTCAGCAATAGGTTTGACTGTCTTTTTCTTTGTTCATCTTCTGATCAGATAAAAAAAAGCTCTCACTTTTGATTTCTCTGCATAATTACTGCTTTTCCTCACCTTTCCAGATTGTATGCTTAATTGCGAGTTTGGCATAGAATCTATAGTTTTAAAAGAATTGCAACTAATTTACACCCTTAAAATTAGTTCTCTTCATTTGGTAATTTGATGATTTAATTCATCCCAAATAAATTGGACTGAATTTTTTTCTTCGATCAAATTCAATCTAATTTAATTTAGTTTATTATGGATTAGGGGATGAGTTTTATATGTTTAATATGAAAGTGAATCCAATCTATCGAATCATATTTATTAAATAAAAAAATTAATAATAATATAATTATTATTTAATTTATTCAATTATTAGATTAATTCAAAATATATATTTAAAATATTATATTATTAAATTATTAATATAATAAATAAATAAATTTATATTATAATTAATCTATGTAATATAATCAGGATGGATTAACTAGATTAAATTGGATTAATAAAAAAATATAAAAATCTGATTTAATTTGATATAATTTTTTTATTGAGTTGGATGATGAGTTTAATCAAATCTAACACAACTCAAACCCTTATACTCTGAATTAAAAGTAATTGTATGAAAATATACTTTTAAGACATATTAAGTTCACACTTTATATTTAAAAATTTAAATCTTATAACCATTTTTTATTATATTAATATAATATGAATGTCTAAAGGTTGTATTTTCTGACATGCCCTATATCATTACTCTATAATATAGTACATATTTTTACTAAAGAAATACAATTGTACAATGCATTCTTTGTATAACTAAACACGGGAATATTATGTAAAATTAAAAAAAAATATTGCAGGGAAGGGCCCAAACTTTTGTTTTAGAAAATTTCAGGGTAAATTGCTTTCTGCACCCGTATAACACCTTTCCACTGTTATGAAACGATCAAAAAAACTTTTTCACTTTTTTAAAATTCTACAAAAAAAAAAATTTAAGAAATATCAAATTAAAAAAAAAAATCTTCCCTATAAAAAATTATATTTCCAGAATATTTAAAATCCGTTCCGAAAATATTTTCCGGAATAATCGAAAACTAATCACATCTACGTTACACTAAATATACCTATGAAGGAATATCAACCGTAGAGAAAGCATGGATTACAGGAGAGTAGTATCTACCCAAATACAATGGAATTAATGATAGACTTAATTTAATTAATTAGTTTTATGTGATTCATGTAAAATATAACATAGACCCAAATATGATTTAATAAAATATAATGACCTATTAGTTATTATGAAAATAAAAATAAAATAAAGATAAAATAAAATAAAAACTTACAGTAACTAACTTTATGGACATTGGTACAATAAGGTTTTTTTCACATAAAACCATCAGAAAAATATGAAAAGAGAAAAGAAAGACAAAAAAATAGATTGGAAAAAGGAGGTTGGAGAACAAAAAAATTAAGAACATATTCTTATGGACTAAGGTTAGGGTTCTTATTATGATTCATGTATTGTTGAGAATAAAAAATCTAAATATATTATAGAGTAGTTTTCAAGAATGAATTAAGAACATACAAAAATTACATAATTGATTTACAATTAAGTCATTAGGATCATTTCAAATACTCATATATTCTAATTTAATAACGACTATTATAGATGAAACACAATGCAATCGCTAAATCAGATGTGGATTAAGGTTTTCATTAAAATTGTATTAACTCTCTGAATAATTGCATGTAAAAGTTGACAAATCCTAATCAACTTTTTGAGTGGGTGAATTAAATGGGTTTATTCATTTGAAACAAAAATTAAAGTCAACCATTATTTTAATTTTTCTATGAAAATTATTATAACAATTCAATATTAAAATATTTGAATTTAAACTAATGTTTCAATATTTATAATTGTATAAAGTAATTAATAAATAATTAAGTATATTTCTCAACTCAAAATCCAATCTAATTAACTGTGAGTTTAATTTGGTTGATCCATTTTTTTTTTCTTATGACGGATGATATTGATTTTTTTAATCATTTAACAAGTTGGGTACTAGAGGAAAAAAGAAATATTCACCTACGGAAGCACAAACACGAGAGAAATAAAGATAGAGAAACAAACTTAGAGGAAAAAAGAAATATTCACCTGCGGAAGCACAAACACGAGAGAAATAAAGATAGAGAAACAAACTCAGAAATTAACGTGGTTCGACACTTCTTGCCTACATCCACTAACACACTCAACAACTCTCACTTCTTGCCTACATCCACTAACACACTCAACAACTCTTCATTTCTCAACTTGTAATTTTTACATCTTCATTTCTCAACTTGTAATTTCTACATGGGGACAAAATTGTAAATGTTCTCATACAATTTTTACAAGGATAAAATTGCAAATCCTCTTATATAATTTTTGCACGGAAAAATTGCAAACTCTCTCTTAACACACAACTACCCAAGTCCCCAATACACCCAAAGACTAGTGAGTAGACTCAAACCATCATCCCTTATTTATAGTAGTAGTCTACCACTTCCCTTCTTTAAACTACCTGATGTGGGACTTTTGATCTCACACACGTTGGGCACAATATATCACATTATTTGAATAATGTGAATTGAATTAGCTTGGACCTTATAGTCCACTCTAACTACAAACACAGATAAATTAATAACTAGGTTGAAACATACACTCACTTTGACAATTGTATTTTAATAATAATAATAATATTATCTAAAAAAAATAAGATAATAGTATATGATGCTATGTAAGATAAATATTCATGTGTAACATGATTGCTTGAAGTGCAGGTTCCAATTATAACTCTAACCATAAGGAAATTCTGCCATAAAGTTTGTGTCTACTATAAGGTTTGTGTTTGAGACTGTGTCTATGCTTGATGTTCGGTTAATTACTTAATCATTGATGCAAACACTGACCAATCTTAACCTATTAATTTTGGATATTAGATAATATATTATTAATAAATTATAAATGAATATGAAAATGTGAGAGACTGAAATTATAAATATCCAAATATATATATTTAATGATTATTAAGTTTGGGGTCAAAATCATAAATGCATATATAAATTACAAAATCTGGGAGAGGGGAAGGGTAGAGGGGCATAACTCATTCACCTCCTAAAGAGCTCTATATTTGGATGCAAGGTTATCAATTTTGTTCTCAAATTGTTGGTGCTCCATAGAAAAACAAGTTTGAACCTCAAATATGCTCCTAATAGTTGTATTCTCTCTTGTGGTATAGTGTTGTGAAGTAGTGGTTATTGTCTCAACAATTGTCTTGCCGCGGTGAGAGTTTTGTGTATAAGCACTCTATCTTTAGTTGTATCAATCATACTCCTATACATGATAGCTAAACCTTCATAAAAGTACATTGATTTGGTGTGAAGAAAACTTACAAGTAACCTCTTAAATCTCTTTCAATATGCAAAAAAAAATTCATGTTCCAATTGTCTAATGCCCAGTAACACATTTGTACACATTTATAACTTTGTTATACAGTGAATACACTTTACATATGTTTTATTTCAGTTTCAAACTTATTTTCATTTAATAGTAATAAATTGGATTTAATATACATGTTTGTTTTAATTTAGTATTTTTAGTTAATACGACATTTGTTCACTACTGAAGTAATTGTTCACTACTGAAGTAATACCTTTTTATTGTAGATATTATTTTTTGTTTGATTCAAGTTACATTTGATTATACATTTTCAAGGTTTTCAAATGGATATATGATTGGCTAAATTTGGATTTTTATGTTATATTATATGATTTTAGAAGTTGAGGCAAATTTATTGAAATTTTGTAAAAAAATTCATGCGAATTAGATTTTTTTTTTATTAACTTCACTTTTATAATTGAACTTATGGATCTAATTACCCACATTTAGGCTTGTTAATTCAGACTTGAGAGCATATAAATATCTTAATTATGCTCTAAGCTAGGATCCATAGTCATTTTATTAGTTTCTTAGTTTAAGAAGTATCCCTGCATCTTCTCTTTTCTCTCTTCTTTCTCATTCTATTTTTAACTCTTCTTATTATTCTCCTTTGTTTCTAGTCTAAATTGCTCTTGAGTTCTTCATTAAGGTAGAATTAAATTTTGAGAAATAATTCACGGAATCAAGATCAAACAAGTCAAATTAAATTTTACATCAATTATTTCTCATTATGAATTTGTTATTCTCTTCTCTAATTTCGATTTTACACTTTATGATATCAGTTTGTAATGTTGTTTTTCGAAATCAATTGAATCTTGATTTAATAATTAAATACATATTAGATTGAATGATATTAAGATTTAATTTGTATAAATGTTTAGTTTATTAATTGAATCGGTTAATTGTTTAAATTTGAATTGAAATTTTTAGAAAATTATGACAAGAGAATTGTTTGAAGGTTGAAACCATGAATTTATCTATTTATATCTTTTTCATTTTGGTTTTTACTCATTGAATTCTATTTGTTTTTTCATTTCTTGTTTTAAATTGTCCAGTCCCTAATTCTAATTTGTACAAAAAGAGAA